AGCATATACACCCTGAACATAATCCAAAACTCGTAAACTTGTTGTCTATTTCAGAGCTATGCATTACTGAATGTGGATGGAACATCACTTCCGGCTATTGTGGGAGTGAGAAAGAAATTTTGAAACTTGAGAAATTCCTGTCTATCATTTCGGCATTGAAATGTTTTTTTTGAAGCCATGCTGGATACTGATAAAGTTTGAACTCACCGCAGAAAAATAATAATCGTTTTTCACTGTAAGCGGTCAATCCCAATTTTATATGATTGACTAGTTGTGATCGTAGAAAACGAAACGACGACCTGTCTGGTGTTTGTCAGTTGCTGATCGTCGATCATCTCACCTTTTTGATTTGTCATCATTTATTCCGAAAATAATCTCAGGTGCAATTCATTCTCACTATGAAGTGTCCGTCCGTCAACTAATACCTCAAAAAATAGAAATGGAAACGATTACTCATCAACCGACGAAAGTCTCGGTGAATGCGTCGATACTGAGTGTGCAGTGTGCATCAGATCCAATCAAGCTTCTTCGAAAATTGCAAAACGAGAACGAAATTTATTAATGATCTTCTTCATCGCCAAGCGGATAGATAGGCTGCTAAAATACACTCAATTTTTGCCGGCTGCTTTTGAATGCTGCTGAAAGTGAGACGTTTCAGTCAGTTAATTGAATCATGCATCGATGATTTTAAAATTTAGAATGCAAGTGATCGTATTCTCTTGTTTGTGTTTAAGCAAGTCATCGCTGCAAATCTGTAGCGTGTGTCGTTTGCAACGAACATTGTTCTGTCTAAATCAGCAGATTTTTCAATTGGATACAAATGCTTTGCGTGTTTGCCTGCTTCCGATTGAGTTCATTTTTGATCTCTTAGTTCATAGTTTGATGCAACTTCTTAATAATCAGAATTGAATACGGAATAGCCGAAATAAAACTTCAACTTAATTGCATATTTAACTATACAAGGCAACAACGAATATTGGCTCTTCCTTCAGAACGCTTACGAGGGGAGTCTTGATTCTATGATTACACTCTTGGTTCATCTGTACCGGAAGTGTTTCCGAAAACTGGCCAACTTAAGGGCCGCAATCTTTTTCATTATGGATAATCGTACTGCTACCATCACTGATGTGTTCATTAATCGGAAGTATTACCGTGCAAAAATCACTGGAAAGAATTCCTATCGAGAAGCGCTCCGAATCATACAAATAACGATAAATTTTTCTTTTTATCACTTGCCACGTGAAACGCAA